ATGTCTTAAAGGTTCTCTTTGGAGAGTCTAACAAAGGAATTGGTTAAGTTGGTCTCGTTCTATGCTCAAAGGCAATAAAAATGATAATTTCACAAGACACTTTCTCATCTTGTCTTGTAGTGCTCCTATTGAACATCAGCAAAAAGGGCAAAAGATGTTAATTGCATCAATATCTGCTTCAGAGAAAAAAAAGGAAAGAAATTCTTCTACGAAATGAACAAATCCCTACAAACCAAGTCAACATCTATTTGTATACTTGGTGATTTCAATTTGAAGATGAGTATAGGGGAGGGTAGAGAAAACATGGTTCAGGTTTAAGAAATGAAAAATGACAAAGGCATGTTGGACTACTTAGAAATTCCTCAACAGTATATGCTTTCTTTAAGAAAAGAGTTGAAAGCCACTATACTTAGCAAACACTGAGACATATCACAAAATTAACTACTTATGTGAGCATGCAGGAAATGAATGATGACCCACTTGGTATGGGAAGTCATATTAGAACCAGTTGTTTGTGACCTGTGAGGCTGTCAATGAAAATCAAGATCAAATTAGAGGAAAGAATAATGAGATGAAGACATTGCATATAATTGCAAGAAATTAAACCTGACCTATCCAAAGAAGATAATAATGCAGAATAATGAGAAATGGAAAAAAGACAAAGATAATTATAAGTGTAACCATTGCAAAAACAGATCTGTGCTAACCCTGTTGTGTATTTTTTATTAATGACTTAAATGAAAGCATAGCTAGCCTTTTGTCAACTCTGCAGATGGTACTTGGAGGTCTGTCTGGCAGGTTCAGTGATGAAGTCAGCATCAACCAAAGATTGCCACTGATTAGAATAATTACAAATTTTAGCAGAGCCAGGTGTAAAATCCTACACCTGGGCTCAAAAAATTGGCAGAACAAACATAAGATGGGAGAGATTTGACTGGAAAACAATTCATGTGAAAAACTTCCAGCAGTTAAATGTAATTTTCTCCCTTAGTCCCCCAAAAGCTAACGTAATGAAATTTTAGTCTTCCTTAAGAGAAACATAGCATCCAGAACAAAGGGACAGTAGAATTCCCATTGTACTTTGCTCTGTTCTTATCATTTATGGAGTTTTGTGTTCAGTTCTAAGTACCACACTTTAGTTAGGAAATTGACAAGCTTGTATATGCAGAATAGACTGACCTGAATGGTTGAAGACATTGAAGTCCATGCATCCATTGAAAGAACTGCTGATGTTGAATATAGAGAAAGTAAACTCAAAGGGGGCATGAAAGTTCTTTGACTTATGTACTGTAGCTTCTAGCCAAACTGGCCTACTTGCATTTCCTTTAATTCAACACTCCATCTCTAGCCACTGTGTATTTGTCCCCCATCCATGGAATATATTTCCTTCTCAGTTCCACATTGAATCACTGTTTTCCTTCAAGGTTTCTGTTCATATGCCATTTCCTACTGGAAGCCTTTCTGCTTCCCTTAGTATTTAGTGCTCACTACTTCCTCTTCAAATTATATATAATATTATCTGTTTCACATTCCTCCCCTCACCTTTACTCCCTCCAGCGATATGAAAACTCCTTGAAGGTAGAGACTACTTTTCATTTTGTCTTTTTATTACTAGTGTTTAGCACATCATAGACACAATAAATGGTCATTGGATCAGAATAGATTGGCCATCATGTTGAAGAGGGCTTGGAATTGATCTACTTGGTCTAAGAAGGTAGAACTAGGAGAATTGGGCAGAAGTTATAGATAGGATAATTTAGGCTTCATGTAAATAAGTATAAAGAAAAAAATCTAGGCTTATGTGAAGAAATATTTTTAAAAATTAGAGTTATTCAGAAGTTGAATGGGCTACCTGAAGAGGTGGTAGGCTCTTGGAGGAATTCAAGAGGCCAGATGACTACATTTTGCTTATACTACAGTGGTGACTCCTTTCATGTATAGGTTAAACTGGATGGATGCTGGTTTCCCTTCCAACTTTTGAGTTGGTAATTCTTCTCCAGTCCTGAGAATCCCTTTCTCCATCTATTCCTATTAACTTATCCATTCTTTAGGAACCTAGTTCAATGCCACTTCTTTCATGAAACCTCCTTCCTCATAACCCCCAGCTGATTTCCTCTCTTAAATTTAACTTGGCAAACGTTTATTAAGCAACTGTTTTGTGCAAGGCATCATGCTAGATCACTAACAGAACTACAAACTTTTGTTAAGATTTCATTTAACTTACATGTTTGGTGAGTAAGAATCAGGAAAACTCTAACACCGAAAAACGTTTTGCTCTCATTGAACTTACATGTATAATTATGAGTAGAAGGAATTAAGAAAAACTATCAGAAAAATGCATAATTGCATCAGAGAGGTGTGAAACAAGACTCCATATTATATCCTTACTGATGGGGAGTGGTGGTTAGGAAAAGTCTCATGGAGATTCTCATCTCACCTAGCTCTTTGTACCTCTATAAATGTGCTTAAAATACTCTTTTGCATGAATCATACTTGTTTGTGCACATCTTTTTTTCCAAGTTAGCCTATAAACTGCTTGTGGGTAGGAGATATGTTTTATTTATCTTTGTATATCCTACACCATGTCATGCAAAGGGTCAAGTTCTATAGAAAATGTTTAATAAATATTGACTGAATGAATAAATCTCACTCAGGTTCAGTGTGAAGCTAAGGAAAAGAACAGGAAAAGTTTTATGGGTACTTTGGTGCATTCATTTTATTTGTAGTCATTTCAGCATCTTTCCTTCCACAAGAGAGAAATGAGCCACATTCTTTCATTACTGCCTTAGTTCAGGCTGCCCAGATCCCCAGAGGTTTTCCTGTTTCAATTTTTGCTAACTCTTAAAGGAAATAGAATGTAGCAGAACTAAAATATTATCAGTCATTAGTGAAGTTTTGCCTCTAGTGTTGTGTCATGGTATTTTCATTACCTTCAGACTTACTTTATTACACATTGGGTATGTTAGGGTTGTATTCCAGCTAAACCATCAACAGTTTTTTAATAGCTCACTGCTTCTTCTTATACACATTTTCTACAGCATTGCATATTCATTCATTGCATTTCTGACATATTAAGTCAACATTTCTCTCTGGTGCTTAAGGAGGCATGAAGCATCTAGGATATACTGAAGTGAAAAGGAATCAAGATACCAGTTGGTTATAAATCATTCTAGCAAATGACTTCTGATAGAAATACTACCCATCCTTTACAGCTCAGTTTAAATCCCACCTATTTCCACAAAGCCTTCTCCCTCCTCCCCTGCCTAGGGATGTTCTTTCAGCTGAAATCCACTTGGCATTTATTAAATGACTGTTACTTACCCATCAATTAATCTATCAATCAACAAGGATTTATGAAGGACATGCTATGTACCACACAAGTCCTGCCTTCCTGGAGCTGCTATTCTATTATAGGAAATACAATTTACACATATAAGAAAACATACAATATATACAAAGTAGATGTAAACTCGTTTTTCAGGTAAGAGTAGTAACAACCATGGGGAATGGAACAGGTCTCATTTATATGGTGCCACTTGAACTGAGCTTTAAAGGAAGCTAGCTATTCTAAGAGGCAGACGTAAAGAGGGATTGAATTTTGGGTTTAGGGGACAGATAGCTCACATGAAGGTAGAAAGATGAAATATAGGTCAGGTGTAACACCCTGTTTTAACGTGTAGCTCATTTTTAGCTTAAGAGACAATATAATGGCCCCTAAAAGGTACCCTTACTTTTCTTCTCTTTAGCTTTAGGAAGTTTGTTTTGGATGACAATTTCTAAGTTGAGTCATGATTGCTCTGGGCTTCTAGTTATTGAAAAATCCTACCACTTAGGCAGAAATTATGTTCTCTGTCTAACCTTACATTTCTAACTTCTAAACCCATGGCTTCTTTGTGGTTGAGGCAAATTCAGTTTACTGGAAATACTTGGTTAACAAAATAACAGATTATATTATAGTGTCTTTGGGTAGGCAGATGCTGGCAAAGGAAATTGGCAAAAGAACTGAATTTTGCATTGGACTTCCCTCAGCTTGGATCCTCCTGTAAGAAATGCCCATTGAACCAAGGTCCCTTGTGACATTGCCCTTCTCTGCTATAGCTAATTCTTCCCTTTTCTTTATGTTTGCTCCAACCTATGGAATTTAGATGCTTAGAATCTCTTCGTCTCTGTTTCTGAGACAGTTTCTCCCTTGTATACAAAGTGCTTAGGGCATGAACCAGTCCCTTCACACACAGACACACACAGATACACAAACATATACACCTGTGTATATATTTACACACAAGGATGAATGCCTTGTTCACACTCAGGTCTGATCGAATCATTCAGTATTTAATAAATGTTTGCAGCTAGTCAAGGCACCAGAATCAAATGGGGGTGGTTTCAGCCTCACCTTTGAATAGGGAACAAGTTTTTAGGTTTGGTTGGCAAATAGATGAAAGGAATGGGAGAAGGAAATTTTTGCTTAATCAGCCTGAAACGGTAGCCTGGAGACAGGTTGTGAAGGACTTTAAATGTGAAAGAGAATTTTGTATTTAATTGTAATTGCAATGAGGAACCACAATAGGGTTATGATCAGATCTGTACAAACAATTTTATAGTTCATGTTGCTCACCACTTTATTTTATTATATTTTATGCTTGCACCTTTACACCCTAACTAGCTTATAGGTTCTGTGAAAACTGATTTTTCTTCCTCAGCCTTATATAGTGACTTCTGAGTAATGGGCATTTAGTGAACACACAAAGTCATTATACAAAGCAGATCTGCTCTTCTTACCATACATGTTAATTGGTGACTTTCATTGATAACCATTATGGTTTAATTACAAAATAATTTCAGTTCTTTTTTTCCCTCCCTGTGTTTTGAGTTACCAATGTGTGTGGAGTGTGTGCACATATACCTCTTCTACTCTTTCAGAAAAAGCATTTAATTTCACAGGGTTGCATTTTACTTTCCGAAATACTGACAACATGGGTTTTCTTTCTTCTTGTTTATAGGGTGCTGAGAAAATTTTGTCAATGAATGAATCGGGTGAACTGCAAGATCTCTTAACTAAAATTGAGGTAATTATAATTTTAACTAATTATTTTTATAAGTGACAGTATAAAGATATTTTAATTGCCCCCCTTCCCAAATCCTGTTGTATCTCCTATTAGAATGTAAGCTCCTTGGGGGAGGGTACTGCTCCTTGTTATTGTGGTTTTATTTTTCTTCATTCTTTGTATTCCCAGTTCTTAATATACTATCTCGCACATAATAAGTACTTCATAAATATCTATTCAATTGAATTCACAGTAAGGGGGGAGGAATTATGCCTATATTTATATCTAGATGCATGTATGTACACATACATGTATACACATCACACACACATGTATGCGCACACATATCACACATGCATACATATACATGCATGCACACACACATATGCAGGCTTGAAGGTAGGGACTATTTCAGTTTGGCTTTTGTTTGCTCAGAACCTAGGACAATGTCTTGTTACGTGGCAGGTGCTTCCTAAATGCTTGTTGAATAGTTTGCAGGAGAGTATTGTTTCCACTAGAAAACACACACTGCCTTGTGAAAGGCCCAACTTCTGCTTGTGCCTCTGAGACACATATAGAAGAGTGATGTAGGATACTCTTATGGAATGGTACGATTTCTCCCTAGCCCTAGTGATTATTCTCAGCTTCAGGGAATGGCTCCTGGATTCAAAGGGGAAGCAAAGCTACTACAACCAATTCTCTTATGAGGCTAGGGCTGTTTATCCTTCCCTCTTCCTATAAACCCTAGAAGAGTTTCCTTCATGTTGATTAATGAAAGTCAAACCTTCCATGTTATTTCTGATTCCATGGGAGAATCAGATCAGTCATTTCCATATTATACTCCTTGTGGTTCATCCATGCCTGATTCACAGGCTTTATTTCTTTGAACTTCCTAAAAACAGGTCACCTCAAAGTCTGCTTGTATAACATCTGATCTGTTTTTCATTGGACATAATATTTTGTTTGATAGAATTAAACACTTGACCCTTAGACTGAGAAGATAAAGTCAGAATGAGGTATATAAAGTAGCTTGATGCTAAGAATTGATTACAGAAATAAGGATATTTCTGTGGATAAACTCTGGCCAGATGCGGTTGGTGGATCCATAAAATCAAATATGATGCTTCTGTAGCAGAATTTTTGAGATTTTCAGGATGTTTTGGAACACCACTGGATACTTAGATGTTAGGATGGCCTGGTTTTCTTATGTGGCATAGCAATGCTGGTGGCATTCATGCCTTCTTATACTCTCCATCTACATTGAATTACTTGGAATTTCTGTAAAATACATGAGTACTGAATGGGTCTTTGATAGACTTCTTGGTTTTTTTTTTTGTTTTGTTTTTTTTAGGCAATTGGGGTTAAGTGACTTGCCCAGGGTCACACAGCTAGTAAGTTTCAAATGTCTGAGGCTGGATTTGAACTCAGGTCTTCTTAACTCCAGGGCTGGTGCTCTATCCACCGTGCCATCTAGCTGCCCCAGACTTCCTGTGTTTTCCAGAATCTACAAAGTGCTCTACAAAGAATAAGTGCTTAATAAATATTCACAGGTGGATAGGCTATATATGCTAGAAGTCCTTAACATTCATCTAGTCCCCTCATTTTACAGATAAATTAATTGTGGTCCACAGAAGCTCAATTGTTTGTCATGGTAACCATGGTAGAAAGTAGGAGATCCAGGATTCAGAGTACAATACAAAAACTGGTAGACTTGGAGTTGTAGGACATGAATTCAAAAGCCTTCTCAACCACATACTACCTGCTTGACCTTGGGTGAGTCACCACTACTCTACCTTAGTGTCTTCATCTCTAAAATTATGGAATCGGACTAAATGAACATGAATGCTACTTTCCATCTGTGATCTTGTTAAACCTCAGTCCTCTGACTATGAATCCAGCACACTTCTACTGTACCATGCTTACTATAATTGCATTTAATTAGCAAAAATAATTAATTGCATATGTTCTCAACCTTGCATCAACTAGATTGCCATGTGTGAAAAGTACATTTGAAAAATAACCAGAGACACTATTCCAAATGACTATAGATAATCTATTACTTGCCTTATTGCATGGAAATAGCAGATGTTTGTGATGTCTCCACATCAATGAAGCATTGATATATATATGGATATATATACACACACATACACATACACACACACACACATATATAATGACTATCCTTAAAGAGAAAAAAAAATTTTTTTTTGCTAGCAATCAGGGTTAAGTGACTTGCCCAGGGTCACACAGCTAGTAAGTGTTGTATGTTATGTGTCTGAGACCGGATTTGAACTCAGGTCCTCCTGACTCCAAGGCTGGAGCTCTATCTACTGCACCACAAACCTGCCCCTGAGAAAAATGTATTTTTAAGTCAGATATTAATTTATTGTTATAAAATTTCTCAGGAAGTTTCTAGTGGACAGGGCTATGTGTGGATTGTGGTGACAGGAGCTCAGTCTAGAGTGTCAAAATTTAGAGGTTTCTGAGGGCATTTATATTCTTTCAGGAGGCAGAAATTGGGTCATTTATGCTACAAAAATAATTAATTAAAATAGGAAATTACTAAGTAGGATTCCTGTCTCTCCCACTACTTAGCTTTATTCTTAGGTCTGAGTTCCTGAGGTCACTATTGTCCTTGCCCCTCCTTCACTCAATTCAATCTGTTTTTAAATTGTGGTCATTTTGTGATGCTTGTCCTAGGCATCCAAATTGCTCATTACAGCTTTGTTATCAGTAACTTAGACCAAAAGTCAGAAGATTAAGTATCTAAGACAGGTACTTAGGGGGACCCCAAGAGTTTATTACATAAATAATGTTGTCTAAAGTGAACACATCCAGGAGTAGATTATGAATATTCTCCTCAGTAGCTGATATTATTGCTAACTTTTAAACAATTAATTGAAATAGTAAAATCCCCATTGCCCAATGCCTTCCAAAGGGAATGGCACTACCAAGTGCTTGTAAACAAGGGCCAGGTGGCACAACCCCTCCTGTGGACAGAGGAGCAATGCTTCAGCCCTGACCTGAAAGAAGGGACACCCAGAAACCACCGCAGACCGAGCCAGCGTTTACCAGGAATAACATCAAACGGGGAGAGGGAGATGGTAAAGGAGTCTGAAGCAGTAATTTAAAATCACTATACAGTGAGAGAGGACAAGTGGTGGTCCAGTCTGTCAGTGTTGCCATGGTCCCGGACTGGATTCTTGCTATCATACTGTGCTCTGGTTCAAAGAAGGTTGTGACTGGATGTAGACCAAGGGATTTTATTTTTGGAAATACAAGAAAGTTTGAATCCTAATGTTATTTCATTTATAACAGACGTGAGTCTCTTGCTTACTCCTTACTTACTCTTGCTTACCACTTCATGTAAGCTAGGTGGCATGATGGATAGAACATTGGGACTGGAGTTAGAAAGACTTGAGTTCCAATTAGACTTCAGACAATGACTAGATGTGTGACCCTAGGCAAGTCACTTAACATTTCTGCCTCAGTTTCCTCAACTGTAAAATGGAGATAAAAGCACCTATCTTTGAGGGTCAAATGAGTTAATATTGGTAAAGCTCTTGGTCCAGTGTCTGAGCATAGTAGATATTATATAAATGCTCATTCTACCTGTCCCTTTCATATCATTGGTTCTAAAATGAAAATTTAATAAACATATCTAGTAAATGAACAGGTCACTAATTATTTTTCATCCATCTGCCTTGGGTAGAAAAAAAAAAGAGAAAATGAAGATCTGTACAGTGTGTAGCACCTTAATACAGTGCCTTAGATAGCACAGGAACTTAATCAATAATGAATCAGTAAGACAGACTAGTTCAGTCCTTCTAGAGCTGAGTAATTTTGAGGACATCAAAAAGTCAAACATTCAAATGTTTGATAAATGTGGCCTGCTATACTCATACTGTTTGCCATCTGTAGATGTAGTTGAACACTACATAACAAATACATTCCTAAAAAGTTGTGTAGTGCATGTACCCAAAGCCTCGGTGCAATTTTAAATTTCGATAATCTGTAACTACTCTAAGCCTTTGTGACATCTTGCATATATTTAATGTTTTATAAATCAGATAATTTCTACAAGGAGTTGATTGATCACTTTGGGTACTTATTTCTTGATTTTGAAGCAAAGTATCTGCTCCATTGTATTGACAGGCTTGAATACCATTAACTATATGTCTGACTTTAAGCAAGTCTCTTGACCTTTCTGTCATTCAGTTTCCACATATATAAAATAAGAATGATAATATCTGCTTCATATTGAATATGACAAAAATCCAAAGATGTAATCCATGTGAAAAAGCTTAGAAAAGTATTAAGTACTTGTACAAGCACGTCATATATTACAGTTATAATTCTTCAGTTTGTAGTGGCATCTAACAGCACCTTTTAAGTTCATTCCCTACTTCTGCCTACCTCTTTCTAATTTTTTTCTATCAAAGGCAAATTTGGGGATGCCTGATAGTTACAGGATAGTCTCATTAAATCTCTTATTAAAATGAATATTCTTCTTTTAGTGCAAATAATTCACTCCTTACCATATATTGGATTGTTCCAAGTGGGGCCCACCTCTAACTTAATTCATCTAATGTTTAGGGCTTATAAAACACATTCCCACACATAAACCTTGTGATTAATTTAATGTAAATATTATTATCCCTATTTTTATACGAAGAAATTGATATTCACAGAAATGATGTGAAGTTTTCCACACTATACACATTTTGAACAACCCATTCCCTCTCCCAGAGATGTAATGGTTGGCCAATAGTTGGCACTCTTCTCATCTTCTGAGAGAAATTGTTTGAAAGAAAGTGAGTTGGAAAGAGAAGAAGGAAAAGCAATATGATGCTTAGGAGGTACTTAGCCTATTTCTCACCCTCTTGATATACTGTGGTGAATTTGTAAGGAAGGGTGGCAAAGGTGCTTGTATGACATGATTATTTTCCAACTACTATTGAAGTGGGGGATCAAAGACCTGGTGGCACTGGATATCCTAACACTTTTCCCACCTTCTTTTTCTTTTTTTCTATGTGCTCATAGAGAGTTCAGCATCCACATGAATGTCCTTCCTGTGGGGGCTTTGGCTTCCTTCCCTGTTCAGTGTGCCATGGAAGCAAGATGTCAGTGTTTCGGAACTGCTTCACAGACTCTTTCAAAGCCCTGAAATGCACAGCTTGTAATGAAAATGGACTGCAGCGCTGCAGGAGTTGTACGAGCTAAAAATATCTTCCAATACTGAGCCTCGTTTTGTTAACACCACTCAAGAGTTTGTTATATTCTTTTTTAATGGTTATGTTTATAGGATAACTAATAAACTTCATTTGTAATAATCACTGAATATTCACTGAAATCATGTTAAGAAAGATACATGTATGTATATATATAATATGTATATGTATATGTGTGTGTATATATATATATGTGTGTATATATATATATATATATATATATACTGTTAACAAAATGCCTAAAGCTGGGTTCTCTATTTGATCAGGAAGAGGGTAATGTTGGTCAGTGCCTGACACTGTTCACTAAGTAAGACCTTCTTGTCAAACATTCATTTTAAAAGTTACGCATAATAACATCAGAAGACACTCACTTGGAGTCTGCCAGGTTCTCTTGGGCTCTCTGAGACCTGACCATCTCCCTCCCTTTAGCTCTCTTTCCCTTCTGTGAACGGCAATATTTATCTTGTTTTTGAAGTCCAAGGGTTTAATGTGAATTTATGTGCTTGGGTGAGCACCACTCACATGGGAAAACTCATCTCTTCATTCTATCCTAGCTACTTCTGAGGAAGTTGTTTAAAGAAAAGCACATTCACATGAAGTTCACTAATTATCCTATTAGAAAGCAACAAAACAAATATACATGAATGAACCCGGCATATCCTTTCATCCCATTCCAGCTCCTCTAAATACCAGGAGGCTACCCTCCTCTGTCAGCAGGAAACCCAAAACCTGAGAACTTAGTTCTTCCCAGTTAACCCCACAAGAAAATAGCAAGTATCCACCCAAAGGAATTTTCATCCACACACACACACACACACAAAACAAAAAATGAAAACTTCTTAGTCAGGGCCTAGTCAGGGACAGGAATTCAGGAACTCTGGGCTTTTCAGTTTGTCTCCATCTCTTAAAGTGACTTGGGCTCAGCACCACTTGCAAAATGGATCAGATGCTGATTGCCTTCCCCAGGTCATCCCATCTCTGCCTCTGTTTTTGCTGCTATGGCGGCTGTGCTATTGCTTTACTCTGGACATCTTTCCTGCCTGCTATTCCTGCTTTGATTGCATGCTTTTAGGTCTGGGTCATGCCCAGAGAGTACAGAGACTTGCTATTAAAATCTAATTGTAGGGGCAGCTAGGTGATGCAGTAGATATAACACTGGCTCTGGATTTAGGAGGACCGGAGTTCAAATCCAGCCTCAGACACATAACACTTACTAGCTGTATGACTCTGGGCAAGTCACTTAATCCCAATTGCCTCAGCCTCCCAAAAAATCTAATTGTAGTACACCAGGAGGTTGAGGAGCAGGATAGCTCCTGGCCAAGCACCATATTGCCTCTCTCTCTTTCTTTCACCAAAGTTTGAACTGTCCTGTATCCCACATTATTTCTTCCGTGTTTCCTTTGAAAACATTTAGTCTTCATCTTGACCCCAAAGCTTGGTAGGCTGGACTAATGGGCTTCCTCCTTAACCAAGTATGCCTGATAATTTTCTCACCAGGAAGATTTGAAGTACAAGTGAACATCTGTGAAGGTATTATCTTAAGTGTCATTACTTAGAATATAACAGATATAGGTAATAATTTCAACTACAAAATACAGTTCATATATAAATACTTAAGATATGGTATTTTCACTGGAATTGCATGAAGCTAGCATTAGTTTGTGAAACAGTACATGATCAATAACGGACATGAAAACATTTCATATATAAAATTAAGGACAAAAATCTCATGCCATGTAAAATCATATTAGAATTGTACAGTGACTAGATATGTAGATTATATGCAGAAACATATAATATGTACATGTACCTGCATGCCATGGAATACAAGCATCAATAGCAAAGAATGCTAATACAGTAGAAAAACAAATTGCATAGCAAGCCCAAAGGCCTTAAATAATTCAGAATAGCATGATTCATGCTTGCCTAAAAAGCATACAATAAATGCATGCATGGACTACAACAAAATTTTGACTATATGGGAAAAAGCTTTCCATTTCTTTCAATGAGCAAGTTATGTAACTGGCTTAATTGACTCCTCCACATGGCCTAGGTGGTCTAGCTCTGTCTCCACATTGTATGTGTGACCTTAGTTTCTTAGAAGCCTCAACAATTGAAGGCAAAAAAAAAAATTGCTTCTGGTTCCAGTCTTCCTTTCCATTTTCCAGCTCTCTTTTATGTATTGGGATACAATTTCCCCCAATTAGAATATAAGCTCCTTGAGGACAGGGACTATTTAGCAAGCTTTTGTTTATGTACTTTGCACTTAGCACAGAGCTTGGAACAGAAGAAGCACTTAATAAATGTTTTGTGTGTACATACAAATATATATACACAATGCCCATATAATATATACATACATGTACATAAGTGACATGCATGTAGACATGCATTTTATATATTAGACATATATGTATATATGCACATATATATGTGTATATATACACATATATGTGTATATATGTATATTCTAGTGGATTTATGGACGGGTATTCTATATATGTGCATAAATATATAAAACAAAATATAAAAAATACAAACATATATATCTACTAGATATATATGTATAGTGTGTGTATATATGTATATATATGTGTATGTGTGTGTGTGTATGTATGTATATATATATATGTATTTCCACAGTAGGTAATCGTTGGCTGAGATGTATTTTCTTTGTAGAACATCCAAGATTCTTTGTAGACTGGAAATTTGTCCTCTCTTTAAACTACTTGCTTGCTGTGAGATGACTTTCCATTGGTCCAATATCCAATACCCATCCATCCATCCACTAGAGTCACTATGTGTGTGTGTGTATACACATATATAGTGGATATATAAAACACACTATATTTACATGTGTGTCATATATACATGCATGTGTATATTATATGTGCATTATGTATACATGTGTATATACACATAAAACATTTCTTACTCTTTGCATACAAAGATTCCCTAGCAGAACTCTAGTCTATTTTCAGAGATCTTGGCAAACAATCTAAACATCATACCATCATTTATTTCTCTAAGAGCTTTTCTGAGGTGAAGTCATAGCTAGGTCTTTCTTAGTTAATCTCTCAGCCAAGAGGCATAATCATTATAAATCTGTACATCTTCTCTGTCTTCTAAAGCTCCAAGGCACAAGGCAAATGTGACTCCTAGCCAAACATCAGTAGGTGCAGGGCAAAGCCTGTGGCATCAATGTCGGTAGTACTCTAACCCTGCACTAAAATTGCCACATGTGGATTTCACGTCCCTGTCTCCTTGGAATGTCTAATTTGCTGTGTGGTTGATTTGCTCAGGTTGTACTTCTCCATGAGGTTAGTAAGGTATGGCTCTAAACTTCTTGATTCCTGTCAAGGCCTATACCTGCTTGAGTAACTTGTTTTTGATGTCCTATCAGAAAAGAGAAAAAGACACATACATATTTACATATACACACACACACACACACACACATATACACATATATAGTGTATGATACCCACATAATACACACATACATACATACATAGACACACAGATTGTGTATACACACATATACATTATATATATGTATATATATACATATATATCACAATATCTATGCAAGCATAGGAGATTTCTGGTTTCTGGTTGTGCGTACACTTGTGCGTACTGGGTAAAATAGTTGATCACCATTAGGATGTTGCTCATATTCTTACTATCTGCTTCCAGAGACAAAAAATCTCTCTGTACAAGACCTAAAGGCTTGTTGGTACTTACACTCTTATGCAGCATAAGATAGCACCACTTTCCTCTGAACACAAAGAACTCAGTCTTATGCTTCATCTAGACCCTTTTATCAATTTAGGAAAGCCTATGGACTCCTCCTCAATGTAATGTTTTTAAATGTACAAAATAAAATACAAATGGTTATAAAGAATGACAATTATATTGAAATACAGCTATCAAAATATGTATATTTTAAAAGTTTATAGCCCCCAAGTTATGAAGTACTGTTATAGATATTGCCTGCCTGTTGGGGCCAGTACAATCTGTCAAGTATCCAGCCATCAATCAGGCAGTGCTTTCAAGGCCATGGATCACAGCACTTTGCAGAGCAACAACTGCTTATACTGCTACCACATATGGGATTAGTGAGGGCCTCGTTCATCCCCTTCACATAGTCTGTCTTGAATTGAGCATAAGCACATAGGAGATTTTCTGTACTGTCCTTTTTGAATTTTGCAAGCATTCCAGCACTACAACATTAAGCTCCCTTGATTTCACACCACTTACCAGACTGAGTACTAGCCCTTGAGATTTTTCACTGGTCACCAGAGTTTCGTCATTTCATTCACCTACCATTGCTATCATGTCTCAATGGCATATCCTCTCCAGAATTTGAATGGCTTCTCTCCAGGTGGATATAGAGCCTCCTCTGAGGATTTTAACTTGGTATAGTAGAGTCCTTGTACTGACTTTAGGCTGGTTTGTTCTCCATATCTAGGTGTTGACTTTTTATTCCATACACAAGTCTCACTATGGCTCCATACCATCGCTCCCTTTACAGATGGGTCATTCATTTCCCTTTTCTTCCTCTTCTCTGGTGAGGGGTTGAGTATCTAGTTTTTATATATTCTCTTCAACTCTTATCTCTTTATAGGATTCTAAAATGTTCTCCTGTCTTAGATAAGACAGAATTGCTTCTTTACAAAGTTTAATCAATATTTCACAACCCTTACTCTCAATATTCGTAGCACCAGGGAGGGAAACATTTATAATTTGTCTAGGCTCCTCTCCTAGAATCAAAATTCTTTCATGGGTATTCAATTTCAATGTTTTTTCTCCCCCTTATACTCTACAGATTTTTACACCAATGCTGCTTATTTTAACTTAAATTGAAATAGCAAGGTACATAGCAATGCAAAAGATGTAACACTTAAGAACATAACAATGATAATTAATAAGCAAAATTATACAAATTTAGGATAAAATTGTAGCATTAGCATAAAAGTTAAAGTAAAATGAAAGAAAGAAAACAGGATTCCAAAGCAGGA